CACGAACACTTCAGTACCATTCATGCGTATGACTGGTCGATAGAGCGGATGTTCTACGGCACTACGATCCATATTTTTTAGAGGTTGTAGTGAGTGTCATTATTTATATAATAAGGTTTTGTAAGTGCTGGAATACTTTTTTTAAAGTAGGATTTTTGGTAGAAGGTTTATAAAAATCTATTAACTGGTTTTGGAATAAAATTTACAGATATTTATTTATTTAAATGGGTTTTTTAAACCTGATTTTTTAACTAGTTTAGTTCGAATTCAGGGAGTGCACAACCAGTGTTGAATACCATTAAATTATCAATAAATGTATGTTCATTGAACTCACGTGCGTCTCTTGTTATAAACTCATCACTGTACTCTAGGAACCTTGCCATAATCCACAACACGGTCAAAATGCATCAAGAACAGCAATGACCTCTGCCTAAAAACAAAACTATCCAGAATAAGGGATGACAGTACACCACGTCTGAACTTCCACACAAGTTACTCTCCATATTCAGATGCAGGATCGTTGCGGAATTCGAACAAAATTATTTTAATAACTAAATTAGAAAGTCTGTTTAAAAAAGGGAATATTTGTAAACTTTAATGCAAAAGCTGTTCATTGTTCCTGTTGAAATCGTCTGTTGAAGAACACCAATTGCTTAGTCGTTTTTATTATCATTTGAAACTAAAGAATAGATGCTCTCGTATTTATCGTGTTTGAGGTATTTTCCTCACATTTGGTCAAAAATGCTCAGCGTTTTACTGATGACAGACCAGACAGGTCAAGATTGAGAGCACCCATGTCAAACGCCATATCGGAGTGAGTCTCATAAGTCAGTCAGTTTCGATGACAGCTGATCCTTCAAAGTCGCGGAAGCGGACACGCCAGACGATAACTCAACGTTGCCGATCCTGCGCCAACGGTATAGTTTTGGCAGAAGATAACCTCAGTCTGTAGCAGAGTATGTTGAGATAACTTCGCCGAGTTGTTCTTTACCATCCCGTGGGTGTTCGGTCAGTCGGTCTGGCAAGTAGCAACTGCTTGCCTTCCTTTCTGGAAGCGTTCACACGACGTGCCCAACCATCGCAGCTGTGACTTCTTTATCAAGAGACAGCTGCACATCAAGACTCGTAAAGTCCGACAGAAGGTTGCTGAGGCTTCCACCGTCAAAATGGATCTCGCCTGTCAAGCTGAAACTCCTTTTCTGATGATTGTACTGGAACATAGTGCATTTACGCTGTTTCGAGATTTGAGTGTATTTTGTCATTATGAAGGGCAAGGGCAAATGCTAGCCAAAAATGCTGTGCATCTTCAATTGCGCATTTTAGTTTTCTCACGTTTTGCATATACTTTGAAAGTAATGCCAAGAGTAAATCGACACTTACAGCAAAAAGAGCTGGCATGCCACTTTTCGAAGTACTTGCCGGTCCATCGATAGCACTCGGTAATTATGTGCTGTATCAATGAGCATGTTTCGATTTTCGAAAAGAGTATCCAGGTTTCGCACAGGTTGTAATACGTTCTTAGCAACTGTTCAACCTCCGTACCTCCACCGCACATGCTTCGTAATGACTTATCGCAAAGAATACGGCATCTAGAAGAATCAAAGTCTGTGTTTCTACACTTTAGAATTGTGACGGCAAATCGTGATAAAATTTTACACAAATCAGTCAACTATTTGTTTGTAAAAAATTACACCTATATCTTAAACTCCGCCATGGCCGGACCCATGCCCGGATGAGAAAGGAGGAGGGTTGGAGACCGTGGCAAGTCTCTGTAAAATTCAGCCACCTGCCACTCA